TGCATTGTGACACCTACATAATACATACTAACAAAAAAAATAGTTTTGTTAAACAAACCTTATTTAAGAAATTGTCATTTTACTGGTTATTGTTAAGCTTATAGAAAATTTTGAGGCAAGAAATCCCAGTATAGAGAATTCTATCTCCTTGATGATTATTGTTATTGATTATAGCTTGATTATTGTAATAATCAAGCTATTGTTACTGCTTAAATTAAAAATTTTATCCCCTTTAATAACAATTTAAAAAAATTTAACTACAATTTAACTTAACTCTTAACTTCAATTTTGCCCCCTTTAATAACAATTTACAAAAATTTTATATTTAATATAAATGTATTGATTATTTTAATTTACGCATTGTGTTTAAACATTCATAAATTTACTTACGATGCTACTAAAAGTATTCAATAAAAAGCTGCTATTTTCGTTAGATATATTAGACATAAATATAGTACCGGTATCGAATGTATGCTGTATGCATTACATATTAATTTTAATTATAAAACGAAAGCTAGGCATTTTGAAATCATTGTGATTTCCATGTGGCACTTCTGACCTCTATCCTAATCTATCTATTTTATGAAACATTTAGCACTGGATCTAACTATGAAAATTATTTAGCACTGGATCTAACTAGCAATTGTCTTTTATAGAGTCATTGACGAAATAATTTGTTATAATGTCATGATACAAATTTAATTTAATATCAATTAAAAAATTCTTATATTTTTCCTAAAAATATTTTCTAAACTTCTATATTGAAGAGTATTTTATGAGAATCTTTAAGTCTTACGAAAGATTAACGAATTTTTAATACTCTATAAAATAATGAAAACTATATACTGCTTATTGGTCTAATATTCTCTTGATGATGAACTAAATATAAGGTAAAGATTTATTAAACCATCACAGTCGGACGATTAGGAGCAACTTATTGTAGGCAGTAAAAACGTAAAAGACTTTTTGAAAATGTGATGGGTGAATCAATAGGTGCTTCCAAAAAAAATTAATAAACCATTAATAAACGAAGAATATGCATTTGTTATATGCCACATCAGAATAAAATAGATAAACGAAAAAAAAGGATAGTTCTGTTAAAAGGATAGATTAAAGATGCTATTATTTTTTGGTTAAAAAAAAACAGAATTGTTTTAGATACTGCACCATAAATTGTTCGCTACTATTATAATCGCATATTAATAAAATGAATAATATCAATAAATAGCAACAAGTCTTATATATCTCTGAAGATTATGGGAGAGAAACTAATGAAACGTTGTGTAGAATAATAAAGCAAAAGTGGATTTTGTTTATTTATAATAATTAAAAACAAATAAATAAATTATCGAAAAAAAAGAATTTGAAAAAACAATCATAAGTTTTAATTTTATTTATATCCGTATTAGAAGAAGTAGGTCAGAATAGTCTTAACACATATTAATATATATATTATAATGTATAAAATTTGTTAATATTATAATTATAAAATTATTTTCCAATTTTTATTAAGGTCACATATTACGTCTTCAAGTAAACTGTTAAACATATTATTTTTAACATTTTTTTTAATGCGATTTGCACTGCCTCATTTATATTAACATATTTTCTAAATTAGCTTCAGTATACTAAAGCCCATGGTGCTTAAAAATTGAAAAGAACTTAATGATTTTGGAAACCTTCTAAAATAATGAAACCATGGAAAGTGTGAAGAGCCACCAAAATTAATTTTTGAATTATTGAAACTAATAAAGCGATTTGACCCCAAAAACCAAATTAGACAAAAACAATTAAACTTTAATTAAATTATTAAAACCGTACAATAATCAAAAACAAAAAAATAAATGAAAAAAAATAATCAATATATACAAAAATTTTTATAAATTAATTTTATAAATCAATTTTATAGTGATTAGTGACTTAGTGAAACACATTCTAGCAATTTTTTTAACACGTTCAAGACCAACCGGTACAACCGGTGTTTCTTAGTACAGTGACTGCTACATTAATTGATTTCATTTAAAAACAATTTCAATAAATATTTATTTATTTAGTCTTTATTTTAATTTATTTAACTTTTTTTGTTTTGGTTTAATATTATGAAAGTGTATTTATGAATATTTTAATACATATTTTATGAACAGGATAAAAATTACTTCCGCGTTAATTGTCATAAATTAACAAGTATTGACTCAGCTTTAAAACGAAGAATTGAGGTGGATTTAAGTATAAAAAACTTCTTGAAGAATCTATTGAAGCTTTGAGTAAAACACTTCAATAGATAATTTATTTATTAATTGGAGTATCTTCAATTCTTTTATTAATATCATATAAAAACATGTGAAATAATATGACAGGCGTCACATATAGATTCATATTTAAAAAGAAATAAATCGAATGATTTATTATGAAAAAAAAAAAAATAATGCAATTGTTTGAGGTTTATTTATTATGAAGCAGATAACTCTATCAGTCATTCTTAGTTTATACTGAATATGAAAATGAAAAAAAGGCCCAATAACGACCGCAAACAATCGTCCAAGGCGACAAAGTATCACCTAATTGTCCTTTTAAAAATTGTATAGTTCAGAAAATAAACAAAACAAGCTTTTCTATAAATATGGTAGAATATCATAACATCATAATGTGATAATATAAATATTGTCTACCATTCCTTTCAATTTGATTGAATTTTATTATTCACATTTACATATATACATTGAATATGTACGTATATGGTCTATAACATGGTCTCTTAACTTAGTACTTGCGCCCCCGAAGGCTTTAGAACAATAGTCAATAATCACTTATATGGCATATATGCAATGATCATTACACATCAGTATGGACGACTAATGAAACGTGTAAAAATGATGAAACGGCAGTAATGAAAAATAATATCCAATATCAATTCAAAAGTAAGATAAAAGATAATGGTAATAAGTTAATTAGTTATTATAATTACTTAAAAATCCAAATATGAACAAAAGATAATAATTCAAAAATCATGTACCACAGAAATTGGCTAGTCATACATCGGATTAAGTTTGTTGAGGCATTAAAAATTTTTTTTTCATTTTTATCTCGTGAAATATAAATCTGAATTAAATTAAGGGTCGTTGATCTCAATAGTCACAATCCTTCTTATATTTATTTATGTATAATATTTTATAACTTTTGTATTTATTAAGAAAGAAATAAATAACGATTTGTAAGAAAACTATATTTATAATTCGACTATGATTCATATTATACGCTTTATAATAATCATTTTCATAAAAATTTTAATTTTATTTATTAATTCCAACATAATATGTTTTATAATATTATTTATAATTGCATTAAAACAATTTAATATTTTTAGTATACCATATTCTTTTTCAAATTAATATAAAATACAACTAAAATAATTAAGAGGAGTGACATCTTATTACAAGATCGAAAAGTAATGTAATAGTTTCATAGGCGGTTTACGTGCAATCTGCCACAGACTTGCCTAACCTGATCTAGTAAATTACTGTTTTTATTAATTTATTTATTAATCATTTATAATTGGTTAAAATTGGTTATAATATTTGTGTTATTTTTTCAATTTTTTTATTAAAATTGTTTTAAAAAAAAATATATGGACAAATTGGTTTTGAGGAATTATCCATCGAAGATAACTATCGAAGATAGTCGAAATAAGTTATTTAAAAATAAATTGTTAATATAAATAAAAATATGTGTTTTATTAAATTAGTCCATATATAAACAAAATTAAAATATTTCATAAAAAAAATTTAATTAAATATTGTATTTATATACAGGTTAATTGTAATTTTTAATAATTTTTTTATTAATTTTTAATTTAATGTTAATTTTTTTTATTTTTATTTTAAAATTATTATTTTTTTTATAATCATTTTTAAACCATAGCATGAACCAATAACGAATTAAATTATTTATTTATTTCTAAATTTTTATTGCTAATATAATTTGATAAATATCATATAATTTTTTAAGTATGTTAAATACTTTTTAATAACTTTTTGGTTATTATTATTATTAATTATTTTTATAGTTGTTTATTTTATAGTAATAGTAGTATTACTTTTATTACTAATAATTATTACTATTAATAAAATTTAATAATAGTAATGTTACTATTATTAGATAATAATCAGTTATTGTTTTTATTAATTTTTATAATTATAATTTTTATAATTTTATATTACTAATAATTATTACTATTAATAATAATTAAGAATAGTAATATTACTATTATTAGATAGTAATCAGTTGTGGTTTTTATAATTTTTTATAATTAAAATATTTATGTCCTTTAAGTAGACATTCATTTCGAATAAAAAGCAGGATAGTAGTAAATAAATTTTCTAATTAAGTAATTTTTTTATATTTAATCATTATTTTTTATTATTTTTTAATTGTTATTTTTATTAAATTTATATTTTATTATAAAAAATTTTTTATTTATTATTATATTATTTTTATCATTTAACTTTATTTAAAATTATTATTAGTGCATTTCGTTTATTATTATTTAGTGATATGCTTATAGAGCTTAAAATATTTTGAAAATAAGAAATGAAAAGGTTTATTTTTACAGCTATAAATTAGTTTATAATTTTAAAACTTTTATTGTAATTGTAAATAAAATAGTTTTTGATTTCTGATCAAAAACTGATTCTGATTACACATTATTTAATTTAATTCCAGCTCGTAGTTAGGGTTATACTATATCTTTTTGTTTAATCCTTCTTGTAAATATTTTCCATTCAGTAAATGAAAAAATTTAATTATTTTAACATTTATAAACGAAAAAACTATTATCATAAAAACTGGCATTTCTTAAATGTTTACAGCTTATTAAAAAATAATACTTAAAAAATGTTTGCAAATTGTTAAATCAATTGATTATAAAGTGTTGTAAATATTTATTTATTATTTCATTTTTAATTTTTAATATTTAAATAATAAAATTTTTCATATTCACTCACATGTTTAAAAATTTCATTTTGTCTAAATTTATTTTCTAATTTAACTGTTAATGAATTGGTTAAAAATTAATTTACAGCACCAACGATTTAATTAAAACAAAAAAAAATATATATTCGATTAAATATTTTTTTTTTTTATTTAAAAGTTAAAAACTTTTGCAGAGCGTTAAGTTTGGAGCGAACGAATTAGGCGCGTGAGGCCACAATCACTTCTTAATAACGACTGTGGTATCGGTTCGAATCGCTAGACTCAAGAAAGCAAAATATGGCGCACAGCAACGCGACGACACAACAACATTTGTTATATATATCTTTGTATATTTATATTTATACTCGTATTTATAGTTTTTTCTTTACTTTTCATACTGGATTATTTGCATAAAAAGTCAAGTCAGAAATCAACTTGATTTAAACAAAAACAAATTTGCTCTGCACTCTGCCACTAAAGAGGGTCTATCTTAGGTTTAGTATCTTGCATTTGTCGTTGCTTTGTATTACAAGTGTTTTCTGTTTTCTGTTTGAGTTTTTGTATCTTTTTCACTGAAGTACAATAAAAACAATCTTACACACACTTGAGTATCTTCTTTCTTAGTTGGTGTAAGAGTAGCTGAATGTTGTTGGTTTCTATAAGTCACAGTTTGAAAAGATTCAAAACCAAAGCTCAGGAAGAGTTTTTTACAATTCAAAAAGTTTGGTTTTTTCCGTTTTGTTTTTTAATTATTATTTCTTTTTTTTTTTTTTTATTGTTTTTACATCTTTTTATATATATTTTTTGAAATATTTTTTGGTTGTAAAAAATTGGTTTTTTCACGCTGATTTTGACGCTGATGTATGATGATGATGACGCCCAGTCTTCAGACTTTATTTTAAGGTGCGACAAGTAAGATTGTCGGTAAGTTGGTGTCTATGTATCCAACAATTTCATATGGATATATCTAAATATGTGTAAATATCTTCTATAGGAATACAAAATAAAAATTTGCACAAAAATTTGTTAACTTCAATAGTTTTTATATAAATTGGTTTTCGGTCGTTTTAATTTTTGGTTAATTTCTTAGTGGTGTGCGAGGGTGGTAACCTATGTAAGGCCTCGACCTTTCAGTTGATGACGCTGGATATATATATTGACGCTAATTGGCACACAACAAAAATATTCAAAAAATTTATTTTGATATTTAGGTTTAATATATTTAATATGTTGTTAAACATGTGTAAATAATTTACAACAATAATATTCCACTATATTTATTTATACGATCAAATCAACATATTTAATCATTTCGACATACTAAAATATCTTTCAATTTTTTTTGATTTTAAATAATCAAGAATAACCTATTGAAAAGAAGTCTGTTCTTTTATGTAATACTAATTACTGTTCCTTTTTTACTCGTTCTGTTATTATGGAGTAGATTTATTAGTTTATTTGAAAAAATGAAAAACTCTTTATTATTCCTATTATTATAAAGAGTCTTATTATGTATAGTTTATGTCTTATTATGTAGAATGTATAGTTCATATCATAGGTTATTATCATCTAGAAAATACGTCAATTTTTGCTAATGTGGTCAAACACTTTTTGTGATATCAACAAAATCGTAAAATAATCGGTGATATTTTGATTAGACTTACAAGGATCGTGTAGTATCACAATGGTAGAATCTAGCCTAAATATGTCGGTTTCCAAGTAAATGATGATATATATTTACTCTTTTTTCGGAGCCATTGTTTCTTTTTTATGCTATATTGTTATTTAAAACACAAAGTAAAAAAAAGGTTCATAATCTTTATAATTAACAATTTCTAATATATACTATTTCCTTTATGTCCTGTCTATAGATGAATATTCCTCAAATTATATTTATCTACATTGGATATCAGTTAATACTTGTGTAATATTTTTTCAAATTCCTTATGAATAAGACTAATTTCATCATCTCACGATCTATAAGTGAGTGCTACTTCAATAATTTTAATCTAAATATAATTTCATTAAGCACTCAGGAAACATTTCTTCAAATTTGTGATGTTTAATATTTATTTTATTATCTCAGCCCCCATTGGTGAATAATGTTTTAAACACTTTTATATTAGTTTGATATCATTCACCTCTTGATTCTTCAAATATCTGTTTCAAAAATATACTTTATTTCTCTTAGATAAAGTAAAAACATTTTGAAACCTGCCTTATCATTTTTATTACACAGTCTAAGTAAGACGACGAAATGTCATTCATGTGTGAAAGAGTATGATACTTCTTATAACTTTATTTATAATTATTAGACTTTTCTTCTGAAGCGGGTTAACTATCTAATCTTGTAAACCTCTCAACTAGATATATTTTAGCTTTTATTTAAAGGGTATTGAGTTTTCTGTTCGATTAAGATTAAATAATCCGTTAAAGACATACTTTGATCTTAATGCTCTGCTTTATTTGAAATAGTTTTCTCTATTAATATTCTGACAAAAATATTGTCTTTACCTGTAAAGAGATGATATTTCTTATAAAATTCTTTGTGATTATTCGGTTTTAATCCTTCAATATTACAAACTACTCAACGAAAAGAGTTGAGTGTTTTTTGTTTTGGGAACAATTATATGTAGGATAAAAGATGTATTCTGATTCTAATGTTCTGCTTTACTGGAGGTCGTATCTCACTTACCAAAAACAAACATTGCGTTTCTATATCAATATCTGAATTATATGTCTATACTATGTCTATGTCTATGTTGAAAAAATTAACATGTATAATTAAAAGAATATCTTTTTATTTTTATCATTATTTAAATAAAAATAAAAAGTAAAATCTATTCAACATTTTTATTCTTTAATCATGTGACTAAGATTATTTATTTACATCTTCGTATACTGTAAAAAAATAAAAATAAGACATAAGAGAACTGGTTGAAGAGGTTATCGAGTCTTGTTTCAAGCACTTTTAAAAAAATGAATAAAGAAAGTAAATTTGAATAGAATAATTCTAAGAATCGTAGAGACAAGAAAAGATAACATTTTTAAATTAAACAAGTTTTAAAAATAAACTTATTGCAATAAAAAGCATAAATGCTAATGGCATCTTAATTATTCCAATTGGTATTTCTTCTAAGTTATTTTTGCAACTTATTTGTATGTAATTACGTATATAAGAAATCTTCGTCTGTGTATACAAAAGAATTAAAGTTGCAATAAAACAAAATTAATTTATGCACATTTTCAGAACATATTTACTTTTTAACTGCTTTATTAAAATATTAATAAAACAAGAATTATAATAAGACATTTTGCTTAGTCAAATTAGATTAGAAAAAATAGTTTGATTATTTATTTTTGTCATAAAAAATGGACTAAAAATAAATAGAAATTAAAATTCGCTTAAAGAATTATAATTATTTCATTTTAAAATTTATAATTTATAATTTCGTTTTAGTAATAAAACCAAAAATTTTTCTTAAAATTGCCGACCAGTTGAAAGATCCTTTTAATGGCAACTGTCGCTATTTTGAGTCAAGGTAGGAAGAAGAAAATGTCACTAATCTTGTTTATGACTGCCCAAATACTCGCTAAATGGCATATATTCACATTAGGTTTTTCTTACTTTATGACTGTCCGATACGTGGGTCACTATTTATATTTTGAGCTTTAGCAACATTAATTGTTGTTAGGTGTCATCTGATGTTTCTATACGAAAGTTTTACATTATTAAACATAACCTACCTTAGACTTTTTGTCAAAAGAACGTTATTTGAGTTATTTACAGTGATTTGTAAATTGAATGTTCGTGTAAAATGGAATTAACGTGAAAAATTTTCGTTCTATGATTTATTACGACATTCGACGTGGATTATCAAGACAAAAGTGCATTGATCAACTTACTTCCGCATTTAGCGATGAAGCTCCATCTTTTGCCACTGTGAAACGCTAATACAATGATTTTAATCAAGGCCGCAGTTTGATCATTAACGAAATTTGTGAATATCGTCCAAAATCCGTTGTTGTGCCAGAGAACATTGATGCTGTGCAAAAACTGATACTTATGCGACATACTGTGACATGAGGTTGAGGTGGAACCCTAGGCATTAGTTCAACCAGCATATATAAAATATTTCACAATCATTTACCCGTGAGAACCTTCAAAAATCGAATTGATGGATCATCCGTCGTACAGTTTTGATTTGACACCTAATGACTTCTTCTTGTTCCTGAACGTCAAGAATAAATTGCGTGGACAACGATCTTTGTCGTTGTTAGTTCTCGTAGATATTTACCATTAATAGAGCACGTTTGCAAATCTGAATTCAAGCTTTTGAAAAAATTATACAAAATAGTGTTAAAGGCACGGTTGCCACTTATGGTACTTTAGTACCAAAATTGGTACATTTTTTTTTTTTTTTCGTTTGGTACTCATGTTCAAAAACTGGTACATTCTTGACGACCCAACTTTATTGTGGATATTTCCAATTAATTTTTTTTATAAATGCAACTTTGCACTATTTTATATTTTGTTTATTTATAACACTATGAAAAACACAGAACGAGAAAACAAAAAGGTCCAAAAAAATTTTGGACTAAAAATTTCGACTGAAGTCAATGTCATTAAATTAATGGAAACCGTATGAAACAAGATTTTTAAATATGTAATACTTAAGGTATCATAGATCTCATCAGGCCCGCACCCAAAAAATTATTTTAAAAGGAGTTTTCATTTTAAAAACCGAAAAACTGTAAAAGTAATCTTCTATATTTTTTCCATTACAATTGAATAACTGCATGAATCTAATTAAATCGATATCCCATGATATCGATGAAAATATCAATAGTGTAGATTTTATAATCTTACTAAAAATAAATTTAAAAAAATTAAAATTGATTGCAATAATACCATGAGGTATTTTAGTGAAATTTTGAGTAGTTAAAAATTTGAGTAACAAAAAGAAAGCAACTAAGGATATTGACAATAAATATATAGAATGGATTTATTTACATTTTACAAAACATCCATAAGATGTTGTTTATTTTGCCTCTTCGAAACCGAAAAATAACTTTTTGATTTATATATAAATAGTACTGAAAAGGGATACATGCTCAAATTTTTTGTATCTTTCCATAGACACTACGATCTGCTTAGTCTATAGCGAGTTCCATAGACAATAAATGAAATTTCATTTCAATAAAAAGTTCTTTTGCAATTTGACATTGACATATAAAATATTCAAATAAAAAAGTATGAAATTAGCAATTAATTAGCATAACATAATAAATTAATTAATAAAACTAACAAAAACTACGTATGAGTTCAAAAATTTAAAATTGTAAATATTAAATTTATTTTCTTTTTTAACTCTTGATTTGAACTGATTAAATTAGATAAAAGTTTTACAAATTGCTTTAATTTATGCATAAGTCAATTTTGCCAACAATAAATTTTATATTTTATTCAATAACGACAAAAATATATATATATTGATTATTTCATCAACAAAAATATATAAATAATTATGATATCTAAAAAATTATTTTTGCTTGTGAAAATATACTACATTGTTACCCAAAATTTGTTTATTTTACAGAAATATTTACAATAATTATTTAAATTCATTAGATATAAGATATATCAAATTAAAATTTTGATATTTTGCAATGTGGCCACTGTAATGTCTCTCTTAATATATTAAGGATCTTTCAATAAAAGTTAAATTATTGTCCTTCGCTTAATACTTTAAACGTTTTCCGGTAATATTTAGGTTCTTGTCATTTTGAAAAGAACGGAAAAAATTTATATATAGTATCTTCCGTACATTACTCATAATATTTTAAAGACTTCTTAAATACAATTAAATTCTTTTCGTTTAAAAAAATGGTGAGGAAACTAGTTTTAATGTCTTTTGGATATAATTAGATTCTTGGCACTTGAATATCAAGGCTGTCGTAATTTCTGGTGCTTAATATTTTGACCCATTGTGAATATTTAATCAATGATGTATTTGCCAGATCTTAAGCAGCAAAGGTCTATGGAGATATGGTGTGCAGTTGAAAGACTCGTGCGCCTTAGGTCCAATCGGTAAGTGGCGATAAGTTTCACACATTCACATATTACTTTTGACAGAAACTTTTTCTATATACGACATCATAAAAAATTGGTTAATTCACTGGTGATTGGTTGATTTACTTTAAGCAAATACTAATTTGCAACTCCGTTTCCTGTTTTATCTTGTTAAGCTTGCACTTGTTAGAACAATATCTAGCTATATAAAATCATCTCCTTCGAAGAGTTTAGCTACCCAAAATCTCTTATTTATATATTTAGAGGTAACAGTCTTACATATGGATGACGGTAGGTGGAGAAAGATGTTGTGAGTTAATATTATTTAATAATCATACAGATATAGTAAGAACTGAAGAGGATAAACTGGTTTAATTGACCAGTAACGACTTTATGAAATTACCTCTTGAAACTCTTTCCTTTGTTAAAATTAAAAATCAAACGTCAATTATTTGCATATTTTGTACAATTGTTAATTTTATTTATTAAAAAATTATATATAAAAATGTGTAATACAAAATTGATTTTTTTTTTAAATATGATTATGTATTTGTATATAATATATAGAATTGTATATAAAGCTACTTATATATGTATAAATTTTTATAATTTAAATTAAAGAATAAAATATTCACAAATTTTAATGATCCCTAATATATATTTTTATATTTACAAAGGCACCTATGACCATTTTTTTATTAATTGCTTTATTAAATTACTAAAAAAATTCTATTACAGTTTCGATTATTTTATATTGCTTTTTATATTCCTTACATTTTTTAATTAATTATTTGTTGGAGGAATGTGTACCTTATTATTTTCTATAATAGTATTTTATTGGATTTCATTACTCTTGGTTTTATATCGATATGTAATTGCAGATGTTGTTTTACATATTGAATAATTCATCGTTTCTTGTATCTTATATACTATATATGAAATGGCAATATTATTTTTTCAAACACGTGCAGCTCGAAAACGTTTTATAAAACTATTTAATAAACGATTTGATAATCTTAATTGTTGTTGTTTACTGAGTGTTGTTTTTGTAGTTGTAGTTTAAGCCGGCTGTAAGTAAATTTCATAAATATTTTTTGTATTCAATTTAGAAAATATCTTCTTAAACACATTTTAAAGAAAAAGCAGCAAAATTTTAAAATGATATGCTATTGTCAAATATTGATATACTTTACTCAAAGCTATAAACATTAAAGCAATAATACTAAAAAACGTTATACATATATATACCATATATATATATATATACATATATATATATATCTATATATAAAGAAGTAATAAATACATAAAAAAGGTATAATTTCTTTAAAGTGTTGTTATTTATTACTTTAATTATAATTATTATTTTGTCAGGTGTTCACTTTTATATTCTTTGATTATGTATATAGTTATAAAATGTTTACTATATGGTAGTTATATCTAGATAGATTTATAGTGGAATCGTTTTCGTAATTTCAAAAATTAATATAATAAAAAATTACAAGGAAATATAAATAAGAAAAACAAACAGAAAGAAAAATAAAATTAAACACATTAAAATATTTATTTATTTGTTTTATATTATTAAATTAAAAATTATTTAAATCAAAAATCAAATTTATAAGAAAATTAAACATGTATTAAATTAAAAATTTATAAAGAAAGACAAATCTTAAAAATTGAAAAAAAGTAGAATTAGAAGAACAAAAATATAAATGAAATTAAATAAAACTTAATAAAAAAAATTCATAATAATTAAATTAGTTCATAATAATTAAACTAAATATTATTAACAATATTAATATAATATTAAAGTAAAAGAAATATTTAAAAAATAAAAATTGAAACAAAGCTTTTAATGGATTTATGCTTATAAAATATTTATTTCGTTTGATCTAAGGATCTGGATATATATCTTTTGTATCTTAATAACAAAAATTAAAATAAAATAAACAAATACAGTACAAGCCAAATGTATTTATAAAATGTACATAACTAAATTTAAAAAAATTATTAAAAGTAATCAAAATTATAAGTATAAACAAAAATGTACTTTGGAATACATGTCTTGTATATCCTTAATGTTAACCACATTGCTTCTGCTTAAATAATTTTAAGATTAATGTTAATTTTACACAATATACGCGTATATGATTTATATAATTAGTTAATATATTTAATGGAATTATTAGTTACACAAGTTAGTACTATTTCATATAATAGTATTTATTAACTTGGAGAAATTGTGCTCTTAGTTTAGAACAATTTATTATACTACACAAATTATGTTTTTACCTATATAAAAAAAAGTTATAACAGCAATTTTTTTCAATTATAAAGCATATTATAAAAAAAAAAAATTATAAAAAAATTATGCTGAAATATATAATTAATAAAGTATAAAACTAAGCGAAGTCATGTAATCAATGTTATTCTTGCTCTGAATGAGAAACTTTTTATATATATATATTTATTAATCTTTTCAAATCGTTTATATATATTGTAATATTTTTTGTTAAGCAAGTCTATCATTTAAATGAAATATAATCGTCATTTATATTTTTTAAATTGATATTATTAAAATCAAATTTTTATAAAAAAAAATTGAATACAAAAAGATGCTTCAATTTGAATAAAATAATATAATCGGTTTCTAATATTTTTTTAATTGATAGAATCAAATTAAACTTTTTGTAACAAAAAATTAAATACAAACATTTTTTTATTAGTATTTAAAAAGAATTACAAGGAAAATAAATTAAAATATTTAATACAAAACTAATAATTTTAATTTTAACTTATAATGATATGCATAAACTTATTTATTTTTAATATTAATAAAAATTATAATTTAAAAATAAAATTAATAATTTCATATATATACAATAAATCGCTTTCAGAGCTATGATAATATCAGAATTTAATTATAAACATTATTAGTAAATAATATTCAGCTCATTAATATTAGAAAAAAATTTGGCTCTCAATTGAGTTTTGGCAAAAGCAAAAGAATTCTATTTATCTTACTTTTGTTTAATAATATATTTTCATTATGACTTAAAACAAAAAATTAAATTTTTCATATAAATAAAATATATATAAAAATAATTGTAATAAAAAAAAAACATAAAATATACAATATTAATTATTAAAATTAAATTTAAATATACATTATATAGAATTTTAAATAAAAAATAAATTTAGAAGAGAATAACTATATAAATAAAAATAACAATGTGTTTGAAATACAACATTATAATATATATTTTGTGTTTTTTTTTTATAAAATATATAACAATATAGTAAATAAATTGCTTAAAAATATATCGGAAGTATAGTGTATATATAAATACATTTGTAGTAGTATTATTATCCAATGTTAGATAAAAAAAAAACTTAATACATTATACGGATTTTTTAAAAGCCTAAGTTAGAAATAAAAAAATTAATTTTCTACACAGTAAAAAATCACTGTTTCAATGATGAATTTGCTGGCAGAGTAGCTGATCTTTGTACATTGACTGCAAATGGCTTATAAGCGGAACGCGTTGATTGACTGAATTTTTCCATATTAGATACAGTTTATTTAGTAGTAGTAGGAAAATTTGGCAGCATAGTACAAAGTTACACATTTTGAACGATTTGATGATTATTATGAGAGGGGTTACAAGCGTACGATACATGATGATTTGAGCAATAATTTAAACATTATTATAATTTTTTGCAATTTACCGGGTCCAGATTTGGTGATTTCATTAATTTAAAAAATTTGATTTGCAGTAAGCATGAAAGAAAATTTGTTAAAAAGAAAAATAAAATTAAGAAAATTAATAAAAGTTTAGATTGAAAATATTTTTAGACAAAGTTAGGTGCATGCATTTTAGTGACAAACACATATGGTAGATAAATACAGTAATTAGAGATATTTTTTATCTCACCTTGGTGATATTTTACTACCATCACCACTACTATTATTATTTGATGAATTAGCTTTATATCCAGATTTTTGGATACGCTTTGACAATCGAGTCACCCAAGCGTTTTGTTCCTCTGGTGTTGAAGCTAAAAGCAACATTTCTCTGGCACTATGAGGATCATGATGCAATTTACATGGGGCTAAGGGATCATTATTATCAACATGCTCCTTATGTATTTTATTACGGCACCTGAAATTTTTAGTGGTTAATATAAAAAATAAAGATTTAAATATATTCCTATTGTTGTACCTTTTACATTCATAGGCCGCCGGCGGCTTAAACATATGCCAAAGTGGTTTTGGACAAACCTCGCAAGCTGTGGGCATGTGATAATTTATATGTACGAATTCGTGACCTAAAAATATAAATAAATTTAGTTTAATTTTAAATCATTTTTGTATTAAATAAAAATATTTAATACATAAAAATAATTTGATATTTGCGATAGTTACAATTAATATAATATATATTTAAGCAATAATAATTTCCCTAACGGATAACTTGTTGAACGCAGACTATCTTTTGAATGAAGATACTTGTATATCACATCTATTTTATGTTTCACTTTATATTTGTTTCGTATTATAATTACTATGTATAAAAGCAAATGCTTGAATACAATACGGTGTTGAAATATTTTCAAGTGATTAGCTGTGCTAGAGCACAAGAATATTTGAACATCAAAACGTTTGAAGCTTTGAATAGCTGCAACTCAACAAAATATGAAAATATGCTCAAGAGTAATAAATCATACCCTTATGTATAATGGTATCTGGTCTTTCATCAGCGCCAGTTCCTCGAATTATACTAATATCTAATTGATTCTGCTCGTCTGGTCGACGTGCTTCTCCTTCACCAGCATATAGCAATTGAAAAATTCGTGGTATTTCTTTGGCATCAGCGCGAATAACATCACCTTGTGTAACCGAACGTACATGGAATACTTTGCTAAAATATGAAAAAAAAATAATATTAATATACATTGAACTATAAATAAAAAATACAACAAAAATAACAAACCTCAAATCGATTATAAGTAAAGGATCATTTGTATTCTGTTTATCAATTTCTGAATTATAAAAAATGATACTGCGAGATGATACAATTACAAACTGCCGCTTCCAGCCATGTCGACGTATGTTACGTTTGTTAGGCACACTTAACCAACCTTCGAACACATTATCCTGCGTGAGTGAGAGCAGAGATGAGTTCTAAGTTATACAATGAAATTATAAATTGGAATTTATTTTTATTTTTTAGTCTAACATTTAATGTTTTATGTTAATGAATGATGTACAAATGATTATAAACATTTTTATTAGATGAATTCTTACCTGGTTATCTTCAGGATCGTTATCCGCTGAGGACAATGAGGCAGTTTCATTAAGTTTAGATTGCAATTGTTCAATTTCAGCCGCTTTACAATCGATTTCCATTTGTAATTTTTGTTTTATCTGAAAATAAAATAATTTAATAATAATGTAAAATAATTTATTAACAAGTTAATTTAATACATATGTTGTTCTTTTACATAATACATAAAAAGAACATTTTGAATTGTAATTCTGTTAATTTTGTCAATTTAAGAAACTTACTTGACTATCCTCCAGAACCTGTGTTTGTAAGTCTTGAGATTTAAGTAACAATTGATTATATTTTTCACGCTCCTGAGATAATTCTTGTTGCATGCGACGCATTTCTTTCTCCTTTTTACGCAGTTCTGCACTTGAACGAGCTTTACCTTTTTGTTCTGTAAATATAAATGAAAAATTTCCCATAGATAATAGTAATAATAACCAAAAATAATATAAAACTCACTTTGTAAATCAGTGTCGCGACGATTCATTACCTCTGCCAGTTTATTTACAGCCACTTGTTTCAATAACATTTCACTCTTCAATTTCTCTTTTAATTTATTCATTTCTTCATCTTTACTATTTATCAATTGTGATAATTCCTCATGTTGTTTCTTGCTTTGTTGCGACAGTTCATCAAACTCTGAATTCTTCATATTTAATTTCCTCACAGTATCTGCTTCACTATCCTTGGATGCAGTTAATGCATTTTCTTTGGCTGTGATTTCATTACGATGTTTTGTAATAAAATCTTTTAGTTCTAACTCTTTAATAGTTCTTTCCTTCTCTAAATCAGCTACAGTTTCTTCAGCAATTGAACGCGCCAGTGCTTCAGAGTCTGCACGAGCAACAGCTACCTGCACTTGATGTTTCAATGATACTCGTTCTTCTTTAAGATCTTGAATTTCCCGACAACGTTCATCAATTTCTTCTCGATGTTCATTTGCTTGTGTCTTATAAAGACGTGAAAAATATTGTTCTGCTTCTAATTGATCCTGCAACTCGCGTTTTTGTAGTATTTCCTTATTATATGAAGCTTTTAATTGTGCTATATCTTCCTCATATTTTTTCTTAGTTTCACGTAAAGAAGCGATTTCTTTTTGAAGTTGGTTCTCACGTGATTTCAGATGGGCCACTTCAGAACTCTGTAAACTCAATTCAGAAAGTAATGTATTTTTCTTGCTATGTTCCTGATCCAATTGTGATTGCAATGCAAAAACTTTTTCAGTCTCTTGTCGGCATTCACCTTCGAGTTTTTGTAACCTTTGCTGAATTTGCCTATATTCCACAGAGAGCATATTAAGCTGCCGCTCCTTTTCCTGTGAATTTTGATCTGATTTTATACGCGCAGATTTTTCTTCATTTAACTTAGTTTGCAATGCTTTCACCTATAATGCAAATAATAAATTTAGTTTCAAAAATATTTTATTTGTTAGTAATATAACAAAGACCATTGTTCATTGATAGTTATAGAAAGCATTTTTGTTTAATACAATTATTATAAAATATATATAATTAGAATTTTTTTCTCTTTAAAATACATCTATTTTTAATAGAAAAGGAGTTAATAGTAAAAAAATTCAAGTTCAAAAATAAATTGTAAATGAAAGTTATTGTCTGACTATATAGCTGCTTCGAATCGTCTCAAATACCCATCATTTGTAATCTTTAGAAACATTGACCGACGTAATGTCCCATATATAAGTTTGGACTGCAAGTAACAAGTATTGAACCCTATCAAATTCGAAATGCTGAGTCACATATTAACATATTAACACACTTTACTAACGTCACAAGTAAAATATATTTTAAGTGTGAAATATATTTAAAATAATTTTAATAAAATTACTTTTTTTATATTATTTTATAATGAAACTATACTGAACATACGCAATCAAAATTAATTATATATTTATTTCATATTAACCTCTTGCAAATTTGCTTCCTCACGGCTAAGTACTCGAGATTTTTCTGTTTCTTGATGTGCTTTAACTTCTTGCTGATATCGTCCTTGTGCAGCTTTCATTTCAAAATCCAGACTAGCGTTCGCTTTTTCCAAATCGGAGATCTTCTCTGACAATATTCGATTATCATCATGCGCTTGTTGTTCACGTGTTACTGCCCTATCCAAATCATTTGAAAGTGTTGACAATTTATTTTCAGCTTCCTTGTGCAATTCCTTTAATTGCGAACGTGCATTTTTCTCTTGCGCTAATAATGTTTGTAACTCGATAATTTCCTGCTGTAATAGTTCCTTTTGCGCTTGAAGAGATGCCAACATGCCCTGAAGTTGAGCGATTTTACCTTCCAGTTCTTGTTGTACTAAACCCAATTCACCCGCGTGCTTTTTTAGCTTTTGCGAATTTTCTGTCTCATTCTTGAAATTATCTTCCATCTCTTTAAGTTGCTTCTCTAGCATTACAATTTTTTCATTGTGATGCTGATTATTGTTCATTTCACGTGTTCTGATTTTCTGCTCATTATCTAAATTACGTTGTGTTTCTACAAGAAGGGCTTCAGTCTTTTTACGCTGCTCTATTTCTTGCTCAACTTTTTGCAGAGCAACTTTGTAGTTGTGTTGCCCCATTGCTAGATCCTTCTCATATTCTGAAGCTATACATTGAAGCTCGGACTCACGTTTTGTTAATATTTCCAATTGCTGTCGCAACTGTTTGTCTTGTGTTTCGAGAGTTTCTGAATGATTCCGCTCACGTTCCAAAAGTGATTCAAGTCTTTTAATTTCACTTGAGTTAGAAGATCGGTGACGATGATTATGATTTGTTATATTATTTATAAGACCTTTATTTTCACCGTCCACAGAATCATTTGACAGTAGTTGATAATCACCTAAAATATGCAAACACAATTTGTTAACATATAAATAATGTAATCAAATTAAATAACTAAATTTCTTAATTATAATTTAATTTATATATATTATATACCTGTATATGTGAACCCAATAAATGGCAGATGGTTTCCATCAAAAGTTTTCGGTATTGGAAACACTTCCTCAGGTGTTTCATCTCTCTCTATATCCTCGAAGTTACGAGTATCATCGTCAGATGAAAGTTCAGGAACAACTGGAGGTACACTTTCTCTTATATTTTCAAAAGTCCATGTATCGTTTAGAAAGAATGGATGTGCTTTAATTTCATCAATTCCCTCACGACCCAAACGCTGTGTGCGATCAGTTAGAAAGGCACGTATAAGAGATTTTGCACTTTCACTTATTTCAAATTCTGCAGGAAAACTGAGCGAATTTTTATGATCCATAATTTTGCCATAAGTACCAACAAGTGAGTCAGCATAAAAAGGTGTATCACCAACAAGCATTTCATAGAGAAATATACCCACCGACCACCAATCACACTCTCTACCATACTCATTATCACCGCTCTGGGATTGTAATACTTCTGGACTAATATAATCAGGTGTTCCTACAGCATTACAGGACACAACAAAACCATTTGGTCCCATACGCATACATGTACCAAAATCAGCCAGTTTTAAATGCCCAAAACGATCAAGTAACATATTGTCCGGTTTTACATCACGATGTACAAAACCCATATTATGTATTGTATCTAAGGCAAGTACTACTTCCATTGTGTAAAATATCGACCATTTCTCTGGTATATCATATTGTTCCATTAGAGATACAATATCACCTCCTGGCATATAATCCATCACCATATATAAGTACTTGGAGTCCTGGAATGCGAAATGTAATTGTACAATCCATTCAGAATTGGCATGTGCCATTATGTGTCGTTCTTCCCAAAAAAATGCTGAATCTGGTCGTTTCATCATTTCAAATTTTGAAAGTCGTTTCATGGCATATACTTGTCGGGAAGATTTGTGTCGCACGAGTTGCACCATACCAAATGCACCTGCTCCAATAACTTTGATAAAATCAAAATCATCAACATTCATGCGCATTTGGCAAATTTGCTTTGCTAGCGGTTTATCTGAAAAATTTTTGAAGGTTATGTATATATCTGAATTAAATAGATATATCTATATAAATATACACTTACATTTTGCTGCATATTGCTCTATGTTTTTAAGACGTTTAAGGGACTCATGATCGCAATCATGAACTAAGGCTGTTACAGTATCCAGCAAACAATCTACATTACAAATACTGAAGGGATCGCGCATTTGTTGTTCAAGTTTTTGCGCTCTGCAATAGAGAAATTCAAATAAACAATTAATATAGTAAATTTCAAATATAATAATATAGTAAATTTCAAAATTCTTAACTTTTTTTGGTTTTTTATTTTTTATATATCAAATAAATAAACTAATAAATGAATAAATAAAAAATGACCCGAGTGGGTCAAAGTTTTATTCGCAGACATATCGAACATCGATTATTGGTCTATAGTTTAATACATTAATTTTTTTCATATTGTTTTCAATCATTATCTTTCATTAAGCTATATCCTTTTAAATCTTCCTCTCGATGTTATACTAGTTAAGTGAAGCATTAACACATTAACTATATATAATAACTGCTACCAACGTATTAGAAACTGTTCTGTATCAAAACATAGACGGATGAAAGGCAATAAACTGTAACTCTGGCTTTAGCCTAACGGCAGCGGTTTTAATTTCAAAATCACTAAATATTTTTCCAATACAGAATAATGACTAGAAACCCGGTTGTAATTTAGAGAGCATAATTTATTCTACTAAGCAGACAGCAAAGAGCTCAGTTAGACGGTAGGTAACGTAAGAATTTAATTCGAAGCAAAATGTACAACCAACCAAACCTGCGTATTTGATAAGAACGAAATAAACAAAAATGGTGTACTTTGTTTATTTCGTTTCTATCAAACACACAAGTTTAGTGGGTTGTGCATTTCGCTTTGAATTAATTTCTTACGTTACCTACCGTCTAACTGAGCCTTAAGACAGTCCAACATTGAGATGAAAATTCACCATTTTGCAGTAAATACACTGCAACGCTTTTAACGTAAATTCTAAAATAAGATTATAGTAAAAAAAGCGGTACACCAAAACTGCCTAAAACATCTTTTACTTATAAATAAAATCAATATATCTTAAAAAGCTATCCGATATGATAATATATCAGATCTCATTTTATTTAAATCTCATATAGTTTATGAGGCTAATTGTAAAACATTTATTTCAATATTGATTTAAATACTATAATCTATCCTACTTTATAAAAATAATTAATCTCAATAAACAGTTTTAATCAGGAGTGGATGTTAAAAAAAAAACAGAACCAATATCAAAAGCCCTTAAGTATAGTATAATTAAAATATCTCAATAAAAAAGTACTTAACATAATACATTTCATTTAAATGTCTTATGTCTTATGCCTTTTATTGAAAACAATTATCTTTTCTTAAGACGATAACACCAAATACTCTACATATAATTGAATCATATATACTCGTATTACACACTCTATAATTAAATGCCACATAAAATTCTTTCGTTGCTACAAGAATTGCAGATAACTAATAAAAATTTAACGTTAATTTTTGGAATTTTATCTCAAAATCAATAAAGTATATATAGATAAAGAATTTATTGCTTTAGTGAACCAGAAAAAGTGTATTAAGTAACGAAAATAGCTTTTTCAATATTAACAGTATGAGCTTACGTCATGTAAAGTACAACATAAGATACAAGGCATTGAAAAGAATTGAATTTAAAGAAATTACTTCATCAGCTTCGGAAGAAGTTCATCAATCAATTATAAGTTTTTACTGTTGTTCAGAACGTAGTTAATGATGCTTTGGAAAAACATCAGAAGTCATTAGTTAAAAATTCGCTGGCAAAAAAAAAACAGTATGAATAATTCCATTTACATCAATAATTATTGAATAATATTGCTAAATTATTATACATTAAGACTGAAAAGTTTTCGGAAATTCTCATTTAAAATTCGCGCGCTGTATATTTTTCGATATTTTAAGTTTATGTAGTTTGGCAGCACTGTCTTAATTACTATGCCAAAAATGAGCGCGATCTGTCAGACAGTTCGTTTACGGCATGTTGAAACCAGTTCTCAGTAGTGCTTCGAAATGTCTTCGACGGTCATACGACCGTCCTGAAAGCTTTGTACCACTATAAACTGAGTTTCGAAAAACTGATTCCCCATAAGCCTTTTGTAGCATTCGAAGTTCTCACACGAAATTTCGTTCGAAACACAAAATTGATGCAAACTCTTTGTCAATATTTTTCCATTGTTTTTTTCGCAACGACTACTGAGGTAACTGGTTCAACACTGCCGTAAACAACTGTCTACAGATCGCGCTCATTTTTGTTATATTAATTCCTTAATTGCTGCCAAACTACATAAACTTAAAATATCGAAAAATATACAGCGCGCGAATTTTAAATGAGAATTTCCGAAAACTTTTCGGTCTTAATGTATTACTATAAGTTTTTATTTGCATGACCCATTTAGATTCATATGATGTACTTTAGGTTAAAAAAAAACATCAATATAAAGTTAATTTATTAAATATTATTAATATTAAGAGATACAATAAAAATAGGGAAAGTGTGTCGTAAGACGAAAATAAAATCTATTACTGCATTTAATATATGATCTAATAGGTGATCTAATTATAATAAGGATCATTTATATTCCAGCTTCTGTAACTATAATATCAATATAATGTCGCATCACTTAAAAATGGAATATAGATGATATTTTTTGTTCTCTCCATCCGACGGAGAGAACTGCTTTAAAGCTGGCCTGACTGTAGTCTTCTGCACACTAGTTCTTTTAGAACATATCGAAATCTAAAAATATGTAAATATTACTGTTACAGATTTTAAACATTGTTTGTCGCAAACAGAAAGTAAACAAAACTGTAATTCTTCAGAGATATAAGTCTTCGTAACATCTTGAGAAACTTCTGGCCTCAACTTAGACCACAAGACCCTACTTAGAACTAAGTACCAACTTAATTCATGTTCGGACAGAGACTAACAAGTTGTTTTACGAATTGACACAACTGGTCAGGTCAAGAAAAGAAATGGTTAGAAACTGATTGTATAATTTCTAAGCCCTTAATAATGGAATGTAATAATAAATGTAATGGACATTTAAGGCTCAAAGACAAATATAGGTAACATATATATATATTTTTTTTTTATTATAAAGTGATTACTTATTATTAATATGATGGAAAAGGGATAGTACACTGCGACTTAAAAGATCTATTGTGTCATTTAGTTGGATTAGAGTATTTCTCCAAGGCTAGGGCACTCCCCTAGCACATGTTATGCGGTTTCTCTCTCTTCTCTACAGTATCTGCAGTCTGAGTAAGATTGGATTCCTAACTTTGTTAGATGATTATTCAATCTATATATTTTTAGTTAAACATTTTATTTTCTTCTATCTCTTATAACTTATGTTAGATTTCAATATACAGACAGACCACGGCTATGGGTCAATTTGTCTATTGGTATCCAGTTTCACTTAAAACTTTTTTGGTGATACTTTTTATTGTATTGAGTTTTTTTTAATTAATTCAAAACAAAATATTGTAAACATATATATAGTATTTATAATGACTCAGTTATAATATAAGAAATCTATTCAAAATTCTTTTGAAATTTGGTTAATATATGGGGGAAAGAACCATTACCTAACAATCAGAGCAATTAATTTTAAGAATTATTTTCAAATTTATTAACTTTTGTACGAATTACTGTATCATATGCTTATTTCTGATATCTTTGCAATAATATGCAAATATATACATATATATGTACATGCAATTTTTTTCAACTTTTATTTAAACAAATTTGTATAGAGGTAAAATAAATAAATAATCGTACACATAAGTTTGGTTGGTTTTTTCTTGTCTTGTTTATAAAGAATTACTCATAATTACGGTGAGACCTCCAGTCTGATACGAGATTACCATATTCAGAGTATAAAACTGCTTAACTTTATATGAATCATTGTATTTTGCGTAAAATGTTTATGCAGATAATGTTTATAATAATTAAATGTTCATTTCATTGATGGCGAGCGAAAGTTTATACAATAAAAACTAAATTTTGTTTACAACCTTAATGAGTGGTGAGGGAAGAGACGGAAGCGTGGTATTAAATAGTAAATCATGAATATAAATATGTACATTAATATGTGTGAATAATCAGAGATATTGAATATATTTAAATGAAATACAGTTGTAACTCGATTCTAACATATACTCTTTACTTTAGACATAAATATTTTTTAATATGTACTCAGTATCTAGAATACCTAAAATTTTTGTTACAATAATTGTGATATTTTCGGTTCGCGCCTCAATGCTGCTAGTATTTTCTTAGATTAAATAAAATTAAATAAGAAATTACCCTTGATTTTATACTGCTGACAAAAGGTATTAAATTAAATTAATGTTGGCATATAATCTCAATCCGCGATCGAGTAATGATCTTATTGGGTCTTTACCGCACTAAACGAAGTATACTGTATCTATGATAACCTCACTGGTGCTGTAGTTAGTAATGATATGGTACTCAGTAGAAAGATAGTTAAAACGTAAAATGTACCAATCATGCCGTCCAGATTCCATGAAAAATCACGAACAGCTTGAACCGAATAAAGTTTGATTTGGATTGTTAAAGATGCGTGTTTTTTGTTTATTAATAAAGTTTGGAGTACTTTGTAAAAAATCTAATAAACTAAGATCTAAACAGATGTGCATATTGTACGTCTTTTTATATTTGCCCTTTAGTATTATATGTAAAATATAATTCAATAAATGCGACAACGTCGAAACTATCATGGATCTTGATTTTCATGATCGTTAGAAAATCAAGTTACTACTGTAGAATAATGTAGCTTTATAAAATAAAATTAATAACGACGCGATGTGATTATGTAAACTTACTTAAAAATTAATAAATAAATTTTTAAACATTTTGAAATGATTTGGAACTAATGAGTCTGAGGCATATGTTGTCCAATATCACCACCGATACCAAAGCATAACACTAAGAGTAATAATTAAAACAATAATAACTACAATAATTATTACAGTTATCATATGAAATTAATATAAAATATTTTAATTCATATTTCATTCATAATCACTCTTTTTTTTGCTAAAGTTCGTTCATATCAGAAAGGAAAAAGCTATCAAAAAGTGCATACATATCTTTAAACTGCAAAAT